AAAAAAAAAAACTATATTTAAAAAGAATACGGTTCAACGAGGTTAGACCGGCCGGTCTAGATGAACATTAAAAAGAAAAAGAAAATGTAAAGGAGAAAAAGAATACTTGTGCAAGTGCAACAGGTAAATTTTGCGACAGAGAGAGAGAATATGGCAGGCGTATGGTGGGGGAGGGTATTCGGTTCGGAGGGAAGGTCGGCGTATGTAGCCAGACCCTAATCGGTCATCAACGCGGAAACAACTTTCACGAAACGAACAAAACAAAACAAAACAAAAAGAGGGAATAATCAAACTTTATATATTCAGAAAACTGAAAAAGCCTTTTATAAAAATCACCAAGCTCCAACTTCTTCCCACCGGAAACCCTAACCCTTTTCCTCTCAATTAAAAAATCTGCCCCTTTTTTCTCTCGTTTAAATACCCTCACAAACCCACCATTGCCTCTCACCCCTTCTCCCAACCACAACAAAAATTTCTCTCCTTCCAGTCGAAATCTGCAGTATCCAGAATTGTTCTCTCTGCCTTTTTTCTTTTCTCTTATTTGGAATCAAAATATTGATCTTTTAGTATTATTGTGAATGGTGGAAACAATTCGGAGTGGTAGTAATTTCATGCTCTCCCTTTGCCAATCAAGGGCGAGCGCTTTCCTACCTGTTTCTGCTGCCTCTGCTTTTGCATTCGGTTCTTGCAAGGAAGGCTGGTACTACCGTTGCCTCGGCCTTGACCCATAAACAACCCAGAAAATCTTTAGCCTCCACCAATAACCCAGATTTTTTTTTGTTTAAATAAAAAAAAACAAAATAAACCCTTTTTGTTTTCTAATCTTGGTTGTTGGTGAAATATTCATTCAATTTTTGTTGATTTGATTTTTTGGATTTTGATAAAGTCGAAAAAATGTTGCTTTACAAGCAGAAGAAGAATCAGGGTGCAAAGGGCAACAGGCTCTTGATTAGCATCACTGTTTTGGGAAGTGCAGGGCCGATCCGTTTCGTTGTCAACGAGGAAGAACTTGTTGCTGCTGTCATTGATACTGCTTTGAAATCCTATGCTCGTGAGGGCCGGCTTCCTGTTCTCGGCTCTGATCTTAATGATTTCCACCTTTATTGCCCCAGTGCTGGATCCGATGGTAAGTTTATACAAATCCATTTGAATTATTGCGCCGTGTTAGTTTTCATTTCAATCCTAAGAATAAAATTTTTCTTGAATTTGTTTATTTGAAATTCTGGGATAAATTTTGAAGCTACGGGGTAAAAATCACCAAGCCAAGTCCGGGTTGTTAATTAAAACCTATGTCCTTGAAAATACGGAATTAATTTCGTTTTGCTTGGAAAAATTTGTTGGGTTATTTATGATTTTGATGCTTGCTATTTCTATTGCAGCACTGAGTCCATGGGAGACAATTGGATCACAAGGCGCGCGAAATTTCATGTTGTGCAAGAAGCCAAAGACTGAGAAAATGGAAGATGATGGAAGGTCTACTGAAGCAATTACTAGGAAGGGAAGTGGGAACTGGAAGGCATGGATTAATAAATCCCTCAATCTTAAGATTTCCTCCCACTAATAATTCTCAATCCTTTATGAGCTTTATTTCTTGGATCAGCTTTACGTTTGGATTAAGGACTGAACTTAGGCTATCATGGAAGACCATGGTAGAATGTTGGTTATCTTTTCACCCTATGTTCTCATTCACGTGAGAAAGACATGAATTGTTATGCAGGAATAAATTCGAGGTGTTATTCTGTTTTTTTGCTTTCCAATAAAATTGAACATTTCTTGCGTGCTTAATTTCCTTTTTTTTTTTTTTTTTTCGAAAAGTGCTGTGTTCTGTTCTTGAATGGTTGTGATGGATGATCAAAGTTATGTCATTGAGGAACTCTATTGGGTTTGGCTTACATCCATTGTCTGAAAAGCTCTTCTTAATTGTCCATATCCTTCGTGTTGTCATTCGCTGTTATCTTACAAGCTGCTTTGCGGGATTTTCATTTGCTAGTTGCATATGGCTAGAAATATATGATGTAGAGAGTATTATGGATTAAATCATTCAATGTATGACAATTTAAAATTTTTATTTCAATTTTTGTCATCTCATCAATTCCATATTTCAGAACTGAATCTAGTTAGGCGGTACTCATTTTTGAACTTTGACCAAAATCACACCGATGCTGTAATTGTTTGTCTTGATTAATAGTCTATTATTATGGAGCTGATTGTTAGATACTTTGAAGATCTTTTGACATCTTAGATAGTTGGTGAATCAAAAGAGGCAGTAGTGTTCTGTTTAAAATTTGACCAAAAGGAGTAGTCTGTCCCCTGTTTCCAACTTCAATTGCTACTGTTGGGGTGCACAATGGGGGACCAATTCTTATCAATCTTGCAAGAAATGGTTACTAGAGTCAGAAATAAACTAATCACAGGTTTAATGCCCTGTATAAATCATAGTTGGTCTCATGTCACTAGTTGAAAGATTCAAGTTGATTTTGTAGACAGACTCATCTTTGTTGTTGTGGGATTTTAACTTCCATGGTATTTCGGAGACTTTCACTTGAAAATTTGATTTATGAGTTGTCCAATATTGACCTAACTGTGGAAGGTTGCCTATAATTTGATTGAAAATACTTGCATCTGTTACCCATGCTTTTCATATTAGAAATGGGAATGCAGTGTTGCTTTCATGATTATATAGCTTGAAAATGTAGTCCTTTTCCCCTATATCTCCCTCACATGGTAGCCGTGCTTTATTTCATTGGTGCATTTTCAGACGAAAATGTGCGGAGTCGTATGGAAGCATGGAAGAAGTGGGATCCCACCATGTCCAAAATACATTCGTTTCTAATGACTTGCAGCTGCTCAAGTCTCAAGTTATTAACAGCAATAGGGTCGGCCGGCAAATGCAAAATCCAAAATGCGGGACTACTTCTGGTAGATGCATGGGATGGCTCTAAATTAGGTTATGATGCTTTTCCAGTTTTACCTCTTGCTGGCAAACTGTTGGTTCCATTGTCAGCTGGCGATCAAAGGAAGATAGGAGACAGCTCGCTTGTTGTATGGACCCCATATGAGAATTGGATTCTAGTAGTCATATCCGCTTGAAAGCGTGGCCGTGCAATTGCTTTGTCCCTACTAGAGATTGGTATCTTTGGTGCATTTGCAGGCTGCTGCAGCCCACGCTTTTGTTTTTCTTTTTCTGTCTTTTTGATCGGCATCAAGGTTTTGACTATGTTCGAGCAAGCTGATTTTTGCACTCCCAATTCTTATATTGAAATTTTTCACTTGTAAAAATAAATATAACAATTCATTCATTCTTTCTAAAATAAATAAGACTTCATCCCTAAAAATAAATAACTTTGGGCCTCTGCACCTTCTTTCCCTTTCCTTGTAGTCGTTTTCAGAAAGGAAGCAATGGTCGGTCAGTGGGTACAAAAATATCTAGTCGCAGATTTTCTTAGGCGCCTTTCTTCCATCGTTTGAGAAGCAAATGGGCGTTTTCGGCATCGTGCTGACCATCCAAAACTGCTTGCCTTATCATGTATATGCGAAAATAATTTAATTAACCTAACTAAATAAATACAACTATTACTTTACTTATATCCAAAATTTATATTTACAATAAGATAATTAAAAAAACCTGCACGAAATGCCAGGTGTCATTATCATGTAAGGCCGAAGCAATGCCCAACACAACCTAATAAAATTTGGCAAAGACAACCTACTCTTTCTAATATCCCCCTTATTTTCTTTCTCGTAATGGACTTTGTTGTTTCAAATTTCCATTACAAATTTGATACTTCAAGTTGTAAACCTTAAGGTATTTTTAGGAAAACTGCTGAATCAACCCTCTACCAAAATCAAATTATTCCCATCCACATGATCCAACTCTGACTCTATGATAAATTTGTAAAATCATTCTACTCATAATTTGTCCAACAATTGCTCATGAATTGAGCATAATCATCATCTCAATTGCATGACTTGACTTCAATTTCTAGGTGTATAAGACTTAAAAGAATAGTCGCTTTCAAACCGATCGGACCACCGTGTGGGGAGCAGCCCCATGTTGCGACACGCCCTCACCCTGCAATTGGGGCCCTGAAGGCTGAAAACTCCACTTTCCAACCCCTTCAAAATTTTATAACTATTTCCAAACTAGCCCTTTCCTGGAAAACCTAAATAGAGGCTAGCCCTACCATCTGTCAAGCCTGAAAGTGTTAGGCCAGTATTTGGGCTTAAAGCCCACTAAACACTCTGGGAATAGAATTGAAATTTACCTTGTACTCTTGGTTGGGTTTTGTACTCCCTATCATGTTTCAGACATGCACATGAATAAAGGAGGCAACTGTGCGTGCGTTGCACCAAACTTCTCTACGATATTTGAGCTTGATTGCAACATCATTTGGCACATGTCCTATCTACAGCCACATTTTAATATTTTAGGGATTTAACGAATTCTGTTCTTTTTCATCATTGAATGATTTTTTTAGTGCAAAATCGTCATTTTCACAAGGTAAATATTGATCATTAAGACCATGACTTCACATTTGTTAAAAATAATAATAATAATAACAAAGTGGATGAGTTGGACTAAATTAAACAAAAATAATTTTTTTATAAATAAAAATTTTATATTAAATTATAAAAATAGTTAGATTTTTTTTCAAATATACAATATATATTTTTAATTAAAAAAATCAGTGGCCTTGTTGGCATTCATTTTGAGAAAATTCAATTATTTCTATTCTTATTTGATTACTGTTATCATCTCTAGTTAGCATTTTGTAAAACTCTTTTCTTTCCACGTAACCAAGTAATTGAGATTCCTAATGGAACTTTTTTCTTTTCATTCAAATAATGGTAAAAATGCACCCAAAAAATTAAAATAGAACGGTGACATTGCATTAAAAAGGTTTAGAGTAGTAAATTTTGAGGCCAGCAATTTCAAAAAGTGGTAAACTTAACCTTTATCTTTAGATTTAAAATGAATTGAATTGGTACAACTATCTAGATTTCATAATTATTCAACATTAACATATTAATAATAAAAATCTATGAAAGCATGTCATCAAGGAAACTAGTTGATATAACGATAGGGTGACTCATTCATTTACATATTTAATATTGAATCGGACCAACTTACTTCAGGGGAAATTATCTGTCAAACTCAAGAATATGACGTGCCTTGTCTGGTAGGGAGTGACTTTAATGTCGCTAGGAATCTAGAGGAGAAAATAGGAGCTACTTTTAATGACAATGTAACAAATAGTTTATTGAATTCATCGAAGAAATTGGGTTGATTGATCTGTATGAGCGAGAGGAAGTTCACATGGACGGTCATAGAGAAGAGGTGACGTTTTGCTGGCTTGATAGGTTTCTAATTGCATTTTGTATTCTAGAAATTTGTCCTAACCTTCATCAAGATTGTCTCACTTGATCTATTTTAGAGCATAACCCTATTCTTTCTTCCATTGTCTTGAATGAGGAAAGTCCAAGACCATTCTAGTTTTTTAATCAATGGATGGACAAAGTCAACTTCCAAGATATGTTCCTCAAGGCTTGGGAGAATACTCAAAATCTAAGTCATAAAAGGGTTAGCATCTGGCATAGACTCAAAGGGATCAAAGATGAGATTAGAGATTGGCAAAGAGCTACTTATTCGGTTGGAGACAGGAAAATCATATTGATGGAACAGAACATTCATGATGTCGAAATAGAGCTAAGCAAGATTTGACAAACTAGCATATCAGGGGTCAAATTTTGAAACTGAAGGGGGAACGATGGAAGCTACTAAGAGCTATTGAAAGAAGCCGGCATCAAAAGGTGAGAATAAAATGGCTCCTTGAAAAGGACCGCAACACAAAATTCTTTCACGCAATCACTTCTACGCGAAGGAGAACTAATAAAATTTGAAAGCTGGTGGTTAATGGTTGTGTTGTGGAGGATCCAAAGATTTTACTAGAAAGGATTGTTAACCATTTTGCTAATCTTTATAGCAAGAAAATTAGCATTGACATCAAAGAATTTGATGGTAATTTCAGGAAACTCAATGATAGCATGATAAATTACCTTGAAAGCCCTTTCGCTGAAGCTAAACTTTGAGAAGCAATTCAAGACTATGATGGTGACAAAGCCCCTAGACCATATGGTTTCAGCTTTAATTTCTTTAAAAAGCAGTGGTTGGTGGTAAAAGATGACATCATGAAGTATATCTAAATGTTTTATAGTACTAGCACTATTGATAGATGTCTTAACATTTTTTTATCACACTTGTTCCTATGTGCTTCTGTCCAACTTTTGTCAACGAGTATCACCCCATAAGTTTGGTTAGCTGCCTTTATAAGATCATTGCAAAAACTCTTGCAAATCCTCTAAAGGTGTAAAGGAGGACATCATAAGAGAAAATCAATTTGCCTTTACTAAAAGTAGACAGTTGCTCAATTGTACCTTTATTGTGAATGAAATTGTTAACCACCTTTGGAAAGACTATATTAGAAGGCTTGTCTTCAAAATCTATTTCGAGAAGGCTTTTGATTGTGTTAATTGGACATTCCTTGACTTTATCATGAAAAATATGGGATTTGGTATGAAGTCGAGATCTTGGACTGTAGCATCCATATCCATTGCTTTCGTTTGATACCCCTTCACATCAATTTCATATGGAGAGAAGGTTGAGACAAGGCTACACCCTCTCTCCTTTTCTCTTTAATCTCGCTGTTAAGGGGCTTAGCATGCAACTACAAACAATTGATAGTGAACAGATTTTTGAAAGGGTCAATATCGAAAGAAATGGTCTT